GAACTAAAAAAATACTGGCGCAGGATGGAAAATGCCGTGAACGAACCCGGGAATATAGTTTGGCGTCCACTCAGGTTCCCGACGACGCATTCGAATCCACTGGCGTTGAAATGATTTCTTGGACGAAAGAAATGTATGAAAAGTTACGCCTTTCATCTCAGGATATTTTGCTGTTTTTTTCTTTTTAATCGAACCCCAGGAATAGCATTACAATACCAGTTAACCATTTTGACCAATTCTTGCAAAACGTTTTTAAAAAGTAAGACTCAGGCAACAGTAACTACTAGTATATTGCTTACAGCAGACGCCGCTCAAATTCAACCCCACCACGAACGTTGAACGGACTGTCATCCGGGTACTTTGAGAACGCCATCTATCGAATTTCGTGAGAAAAATAGTAACTCGGAAATTAGGAATTAATATGTACTCTATGTGGGTGCAACTTATCATAAAGTGATTTCCCTCAATCTGAAAACTGGGTTTGTTTCAGTATGACCACTATAATTCCCATCAAAATGTAGCCCTGACACCCCTCTACATTTTCTACTGAGATTGATAATGGTATGACCCATCTGTCATTGATTCAGATCAAGGTCATGACCAGGTCACGAGATCACTAAAAACCCTAGTATTACAATCTAAGCTAATTATTTATTCTGACCATGCTCAGTTGTTCTCTCAGTGCAGTTGGGAGAGGTAGTTTTGAATGAAAATCATGAAAAAGACCCACTTAGAATTTTCAGATCTGAAAAAAAAATTACGTGCATGATTGGCAGAGACTTGCTCATCAACCTGACAAGTTTCATCGATATCTGCTGCAGAATTGTTGAGAAAATGCTAGAGACATCACAGACGGTAAATTGAAATAAGAATTAATAGTCCACCTTTCAGGCTGCGCCTGAAACAGGGACTAAAAAGGTTTTGGGGGAAAAGACCACTGTAGATGTTACCTCGCTTTTACGTCTTCCTTTACATCATCAGGTTTTTCAGCTTCCATCTGCACCTCATTTTGAATTGTCTCTTCTTCAACATCTTCATCCTCTATATCATAATTATCAAGTCCATTGTCATGATCTAATAATTGAAACATGTATGACTGGTCAATGATTTGTGTGCCATTAGATAGTGCCAAACTATTTGTCAATATAGGGCAACAAATAGCTGTACCTTCCACTTCATCTGTATCCATGACAACATCTTCCACTGGTTCATATTTGATTCTTTTTAGTGGTGGGTCGTCCCTGATGTCAGATATGTCAGACTGTGCCTTGCGTTGTAATGCCTTGTTCTGGTTCCCTGATGTTGGCATTGGTGACTTTGGAGGCATAACTCTGGGTCTGCTAGCGAATGGGTTACGGTTACGACTTGCCGGTGATGGTCCAACAGGGGAGGGTAGCCTGAAAAAATAGGTATTGGGTTACATTCAAACATTCCAATTCCATTGTGAATGCAACAGGATTTGGGTTATTTTTAGATCTTGAAACTATAAATTTCGAATTAAAATAAAATAATAAATTAGTCAAATAATACATACCCTTCTGGTTTGAATTTCATTCTTATCGGAACAGGTTTTGGCATAGGTGGAGGCTACATGTAACAAACAAACAAACATACATTACTTATCTCATTCAAACTTGAATTCCTTTCAAAATGTCTCTAAGAGTAAATAACTCACTTCATTTTTCATTTAAAATGTCTATGATCCGAGTAAATAACTCGCTTCATTTTTCATTTTATTTAAAATGTCTATGATCTGAGTAAATAACTCACTTCATTTTTCATTTAAAATGTCTATGATCCGAGTAAATAACTCACTTCATTTTTCATTTTATTTAAAATGTCTATGATCCGAGTAAATAACTCACTTCATTTTTTATTT